CACTAAAACAGCTTATCAAAGTTGTGGCGGAGCATCCCGCACATGAAAGGATTTTCCGAAGTCGTGGCTAGATCTCTCGCGCCTCTCGGAATAAAGGATGCCCACAAGCCTACATGCACTATCCGACAACAAGTAATGCTGCCGAAAGACCATATACCTAAACATGAGAAGTCAGGCGTCGTATACCGACTTCAGTGCAGCTGCGAAACGTGCAGTTATATGTGAGAAATTGGCCAACAACTTCAAACGCGAATGCGGGAGTATAAGCGGGCCGTGGGTAGGTTGGACCCAAAGACGGAGGTAGCATACCATGCTGCAGCGATGGGGCACGACTTTAACTTTGACGCGGTGGAGATTGTGGGCCGAAGTGAAGGGTCTGTATGTCCAGTCAACCGCCACATACATTTCCCGGCACTACATGTTGTTTTAAAGACCTTCTTATCCCGGGACACACGCGGCATCCAACGACGGGGGCTGGGAACAAGTCCGGGCGTGATGAAGGACGATGGACCGAACGCTCAGGAGGCCAACACTGGGGGCAACGTCTGCATACCGGGAATCACTCGAGACACCATGGAAGGCGACTGGACGAACACACAGGGGTCTGACACCAGCGCAAGCCGCATTAACACGCACTCAGCCAACGCCATGGAAAACATGCTTACTCCGAGCACAAGTCTTGGTGTCACAAAGGGCCATGGAACGAACAGGCAAGGGGGCGACACGGTGACAGGCAGGAGACCGACAGACGAGGAGATTGAAGACGTGGCGAGAGACATACATAGTGGCTCAAACATGATTGGTAGAACAGGCATGAGCAAGAAAGGACGGCATGAAGACGAAGACCGTGAGCCAGAGTTTCCATTCTCTGAAGATGGGTAGACGAAGCGTCAGGCTTGTAATAAGTCTTTCCGGTGAACGCTCCTCTTTATTCCGATCTACCACCCCGGAACCGGATTTTCAGCGTTATTTCTGTAAATATTACGTTGTTTAACATTACCAGCTTTTCAGAAAAACGTATGAATCCGAGAAGAATTGGAAATTGGGTATACTTTAGAATGAACTTTCATCAAAGTAAACGAGTAAATAACGCAGCACAATTCGAATTTCGTTGTCAAGTAAACATTTTGTAAACATTTTTGAGCTTTCATATTAGGCTCAACGTTACAATTTGCAGTTACCAAAACACGCAGATATCAAGTATGTATTCGAACATGGTGTTAGAAGAATTGCTATTTGTTGCTTCTGCTTCCATATTGCTGGAGGTAAAGCAGAAGTAAGCAACCTTTATTTCGCTTGATAACGCCGATTGGAAGGCAAAAGGTCACGTACGGATATGCTGGTCAGTAACTTTACGTTTAAATTGGATTGTAAGGTGCAATCGTAGAAGTACCATTTTTTCCTATAATAATATACATTTCCGTACCGTAAGACCGTAAGACGACTTGGAATTATTTCGGGATTCGTTTACAATGAGGTACAGTTTGTTGTTGGAATGGTTTTTCCTATTGTTTACGATTTGCGGTGGCTTCAGTCGATGGTCCCTAAGTAAGGATTATATTCCACGTACAAATTACAACCTTCAAAATAGGAGATTCTTTCGAATTAATACCCTCTGTGATGAGCTGTTAAGCATTATTTATTAGGCTGCTGTCTGCTTAAATTACGCATTTAGAAGCACTCAAACGTGTTAAATCATTGTTAATTAACGCTAGCACAAGGCAGTGAACTATCTTTCCATTCCAGAGAGAATGAATTTATTACTTTTGCATCAGTGAGAAAAGCGCTATATCTGTTTTGAATGTACAAATATATTTTGACACGACCTGATATTTTGCATATTCCGATATTAAACCACTTACAATGTATAATATAGCCGTTTTCTGAAAAGCGGTTTTTATTTACGATTAAATAGGTTTTCTTTGTATCTAATAAGTAAATAAGTTGTGTATGCCCTTATTTTAAGATGTGTAGGTTCTTTATTGCCCCACGAGTTTGCGGGACGAAGCGTGGACTGCTTATGTGCAAGCTGATTGTCTTGATTAATTATTTTAGTTAAAACTGCACCTCACCAGGCCTGTACAAAAACAAACTTCTTTTTTACAATTCTTTTCTTCTGCCTGTGATTCCAGTCTGGTTATCATTCACACCACCTCTCATGGTGACCTTGTCTGTTTAACGTGAACATCAAGGTATGCAGATTTTTGGCGAGAAACAGCGCCGCCTACGTTGCGCTTATTCATTAAAATACCGAAATGATGTCAGCCATTGCTCCAGTCTGCAGTAGTCGATGACGAGCACAAATTGAATCACACAGCCAGTCGGGAACTGTCTTCCCCCAAGGCACATTTAATGTCAAACGTGATTAACCCTCAACCCTCGGCATACAGCTGATCAAGGTAGGTGAATGCGTGGCGTATAGCATCGTGAGAAAAAAAAAATGGAATTCTCGCTTCTCACTGACAAACAACTCGGGTTAAAACAGCCTACGTAAAGAATGAATCATCCCATACCGTTCTGAACCGACAAGTTCTCGATGACTGCGACAAGCATGATGCAGGAGATGCTATGTGTGATAAATATGAAGTGCGGGAAAAAGCACACACATTGTGGTTGTTCATTTTATTCATTTATTTTAATTGAGACGCAAAATTCGGTTTACGAGAAATCACTTCCGTTCAGATCCTTTGAGGGTAGTCAAATACAGGCAGAATTAAGCTAAATCCAACGCTTGTTGATATCAAAGCAATTTTCTACACTACGAGATACTGCGGAAAAACATTACTTGTTTGTGCCTGTTGGACAATAAAAGGGCACCAATAAGAAGTAGATAGTTTGAACTATAAATGTTCACAGAACATAACATTTTGTTTGGCTTTCTTGTAATTGAAGAAGTTGCACGTAGGAGATAGCACATTATTGTCGGCAAGAGAAGAGCGGAGTTAAGTCACAACATTTTGTGGCGCACCTCGGTTAAGCGCAGTGCCACGAAGATTAGGAATAAAGGCACGAGACCATGCTTTCTTTTATTACACCGCAAAATAGTACCCCAATCAACCATGTATGAGATAATGTGAAATGTTGTAAGTTTCCACTGTAACATCCTGGAAGATGTCCATTAAAACACCTTCAATATTTAGGGAACAGGTAGGAGATAATGATTTTTTTTGTAAAATCGTCGTTCATCGTCAGGCACACTATTATGCATTTGTTGTCTTAAAACGGAGCCAATTGGTAAACAATGACACTAAAGACTGCTCCGCTATAGACAAAAATGTGAATTCTTCGAATTTCGGAGAAAATATATTTCACATTTTAGGAAAGTCAAAATACTTATCGAGTTTTCCCTTTTTTCCTAACTGAATATTTAAACAACGCAAAGTACAGGGGTACTTGACGCCGAAATATCAAATTTAATTTTTTTTTCAAAAAGATGACGTGCTGTACAACTTTTTTACAGCATCTTTGCCCAGGTGCAAACTTGAAGATTGCGCATATAGCAGAATTTAATGAAGCCATAATCTTCGCGATTGCTCACCAGCTGCATAAAGTGAGCAAAGAATGACAGAATACAACAACTGAATTTATACAGAAGAGGTCAGGAAAGTCAATTAGTACAAAAGGCTATATGGTCTAATTAGTAACGTAAATAAGGAAAACACTGTGGACAATAAAATAGGAGAAAAAAGTTAAAGCAACAATTCGGGCAGGGTAGATGTGAATCAGGGAGCCGCATGTCACCAGGCCAAAGCAAGGTTCACAACATGTTCCTGCTGTTTACATAGGTTTGGTTTTGACCGTTGTTTAGGGGCTACCCCTAGGTATAACAATGTA